TTATCAGCGGTAGAGATTTTGTGAATTAAGAATTTATTTAAAGTCATTTATTTATTGTTTTCTAAGATATTTTCGATTTTCATAGATCTTTTGGATAATATTTATTGATATAATTGATTGTTAACAAAAAATGTATTTATAAATTTAAATAAAATATGTATTTTTATTGAAATTGAATAAATTGATTAAATTTATTAAATGATTATTATTCTTTGATTGCATATTTAAAATCGTATTTGTCTTGCTAGAATTATTACTGGCCTCTACCGCTTCATACCACAAGTCTTCAAAACTTTAAATTTACCAATCATGGTGCCTTTGCAGATACATAATGATTTTTCTGATCACTTCATTGATATTTTCCAATGAATATAAGAGTTGATCGAATTATGAGTATAAAATATATTATGCAAAATCTAACAATAAAACATATTATAATATATTAACATAATTATTATGTTGTATAAAGTTGCCTTCAATCGGTTTACATAAAAACATATCGAGTTGCATTATCTATAGGCGTTAAATTACTGTCGAATATTATATAAAAGTTGTAATGGGCTAGTGTTGTAATGGATATATTATAATAATACACTACAATTATATAAATACAGTAAACCGCTCAAAACTAAATAAAACGTTTATTAAATTTGTTCATTTTAATTATAATATTTTCATAAAGGTTGATTACAGTTCAATTTATATATCTCGTTTTTATATAAAAAGAGCTTTAAAACCTTAACAAATATAATTCATTTAATTGTAATTATTTTTATCGTAATATTGTTATTAATTAAGTAATATCAATATATAATTATTAATATCATAGTTTTTATATTCAAAATAATCCTATGAAACACAAAAAATAACCAAAGCCATATTTTGTCTTTGAGCTCTATTTTACAAGAGGAAAACCAGAGACGTAAAAGGTACTCATCAAATACTATCTTTTAATTTGTACTTTTTTTATTTAAATTTATGTTATTGCTCATCATTGTTACTAGATGTTAAATTATTTAACAACTATAACAAATATTGTAATTAGAAAAATGAGTTAGTTTCGTTTAATGTTTTGATTAAGTATCTGCTTCCTTATATATGTAGATAAATCTTATTATATATTATATACACAATGTTGAAAACAAATTGTGACAAGTAACTGTTTAATTATCACGACAAATTAGCACAATTTTGATTTTTCAGAATGTACGACATAATCTTTATTTTAACAATCATTCCAGAAATATAAATAAAGAAAAAGTTTAAATAAAAAAAACATTAATTCCATTTTAACTTAACAAATTTTGGTGAGTGCATAGTTTTTTATAGCCATTATATTATCCCTAATTATTGGGTATTTTACGTGTATATTTCTCATTTAATAGTCAAATATTCTACATATTGTCTACGTATTTGTTATTCACCAGGTGTTTACATTTTTTGCAAACATTATATATGTGCGATGTTTGTATGATTCATTTTCATATTTATATTTGAAATTATATATTGTTTTTACAGGTAAATTTGCGTTTCAAATTTAACAAGATTTTTGTAAAATACGAATACATTTAAATTTAACTTTTTGAACTTTAATATAACTTACTTGAATCACGCAATTTACAAGTAAGATATATTTCCATCTCTCATAGTTATACATACACAGACACATGAAATGTTGTTCCTTGATTGCCAATCATATAGACGCTACAAATATAATTACAACTAAATAGAATAATCGAGAGCAAATTTATTGATAAAAAATCGTATAAAAATACAAAATTATTTCAATACAATACTATATGGAATATTCAAACAATAGTATCAATGAATTGCTTGATATAGAGATTTATATGAAAATGATCTTAAAACAATGAGTTCTTCTATTATTCTATTATCAATATTTATTTCTTTCGCTCAGAATCAACAGCGACTGAATCCGAATCATCAAATCCGCTTGGTCCAGATACTTCATCTTGAGATTGTTGCTCATCGAAACCTTGTGAATTTTCAGAAAATGGTGTGCCTTCACTGTTTTCAGAAAAAGAACTTTCACTTCCACTAGTATCAGAAAATGTTGAACCTCCGCTATTTTCAGAAAACGGTGCTCCACCATTCACACCTGCTCCAGAAGTATCACTATTGACTGCCGATGCTGAATTATCGACATTAACATTTACGTTGTCATTTGTATTCGAAGAAAATTGGGAACTTTGGTAACTTGATCCTGGGTAAAATCCTCCTGCCCCAAATCCGGGGTAAAAACCGCCTCCGAAACCTCCGAGGCCTCCAACATATGAAGGATAATAAGGAAGAAAAGAGGAGTAGCCTAAAGGATAAAATGAACTATACGGAATTATAGGCGGGTATATTGAGACAACCTGAAAATATCAAGGTTTATAGATAAAAAAAAATATTTGAAACCCTCCAGCGTAGCGTTTGATTCATATGCTATATGTTCTTTCAAATGCTCAATGTAAGTAAAGTTTGGATAATATATGCACGATTCTAATTAGAACTACGATAATGATTTATTCCAAAGGGGCCGTTCAAGTATTACGTAAGCACTATAGGGGGGCGGAGGGTTGTTGATTTGCTTATTTTGGGTTGACATGGGGGGCAGGGGAGTCTGGATGATGATTACGTCATAGGTAGCATTTTTACTTTTTTACATTAATTGCAAAATGTTTACGTAAGCAAGGGGGGGTGGGGGGGGGTAAATAATTGTAATAAATCTGCTCACGTAATACTTGAACGATCCCAAAAGACACATGGATTAAACTTTTTTTTTCAAATAATAATAAATTATTACATGATGAAATTATATTTGACAAAATAACTTACCGGTCTGACTACAGTAGGAACTGCCTGGTAAGCATGATGCTGAACGGTGCTGTATGCAAATGCTCGACCTGATCTAAGATTTCGGACTTGAGCGACATCATATTGAGGAGTCCTTATATAATTCGTTCCCAGACTTTGCACCACTATGCTTGAAACAGTTCCAGATATACCACAACAAAGTGCTAATAGTGCGGCTAAAATAACCTAAATCACAAAATATGCGAGTTAGATGCGATAATAAAATTAATTATTAACCCAAAGCCCAATGTGCAAATACATATCAAAATTTGTATGCAAACCAGAGCTGTTCCTTAATATCTCTGATAGATGATATTTAAAGCAGTATTAGACGCTACTACTACACTGATTAATTACCCAAGTAATTAATCAGTAAAATAGCAA